ATTTTCTGTAGATGGTCAGGCAAGACCGCGGTTTCGATCCTAATCTTGTGGATCTCGTCAGTTGCCGATTAACTAAATAGACTGGTAGAGATTCGTTCTCGGTATCAGTCGGGAATTTTGCTCCCTATCCAGGCGAACCTCTCGCAGATAGCCAAGATGCCGATGTGGCCGCCGATGAATAAGACGAGGATGGCATTTTGCCCGAAATCCTCTTTTTCGGCCTCCCAACATGCAAGCCACACTCCATGCTTTTACCCTTCTTTCACAGAAGTACACAACCAGTGACGTCACAGGGCTGTTTTGGCCGCGCCAAGATGGCCGCCAATTTTGATCTCAGCCGGTCAACTTCGAATGGTTAAAAATGTACTTTCCGCTCTCCGTTGGCCCAAAAAAAGTACGCACGTTTGCAAATAACGTTCGAACTCTATTATATTGCAAAAATCTCGGATATGAAAATTACGTTTCAGTAGCACTTTAACCTGTCATTTAGTTTGGGTGTAGTCCCCTTGACTTGGAAAAGAGCCAATGTTACACAATTTTTAAAAGACAATGCCAAGGAGAACTATAGATCCATCTCCCTACTATCGATCTTAGGAAAATGTCAGGAAAGAATTATCCATCGTGCCATCTACTCTCAAGTCTCACCTTTTCTTACTGATTGGCAGCATGGCTTTATGAAAGGGCGTTCCTGTTTAACCCAGCTGGTCCTCACTAACCATATGTGGAGCAAAGCGCTGAATGATGATCTCCAGGTTGATGCTGTGTTCTTGGACTTCGCTAAGGTGTTCGATCGCGTGAACCATAAGATTCAAGTGCATAAACTGTGTAACTTTGGAATAGCAGGGTCACTGCTAGCCTGGTGTGGTGATTATTTATTGTGTCGTAAGCAGAGAGTTGTGGTGGATGGCAAAAGTTCTAGCTGGCTGAATATCACATCTGTCGTGCCACAAGGATCCATTTTGGCCCCCTAGTATTTTTTATTTTAATCAGTGATTTGCCTGAGGTAGTCCAAGAAAGTTCTGTGGCACTTTATGCAAATTACTGCAAGGCGTATAGGGCGGTAATTTGTTCAAATGACCTAATGATGTTTCAAGACGATTTAGATAGTCTGCGCGCCTGGAGTCAACGGAACAGGATGACCCTCAATGTTAAGAAATGCAAGATGATGCGCATTACCCGGAAGAAACAACCATTCAGATCTAGCTTCATCCTAAACGGATCGGACATAGAGGAAGTTTATGAGTTTCGCGACCTAGGTTTGCTTATGAGCCATCATCTTTCCTGGAACTCTCATGTTGATGCTATTACAAATAAAGCTAATAGAATCTTGGGCCTGCTAAGAAGAGCCTGTAGGGGCTGGAAGGACACCGAAACTCTGAAGATACTGTACCGCACGTTGGTTAGATCGCAAGTGGAATATGGAACAATAGTTTTGTCGCCACATACCAAGAGAAACATTGAAAAACTTGAGTGCATACAGCGGAGGGGAACAAAATTTATTCTCGGAAAAAGGAATTTTACTTATGACGAGCGCCTGGAAGGTCTCAATTTGCTTTCACTTGAAAAGAGACGTTATCTTTTTGATATTACATTTTTGTACAAGGCTTTAAATGGATACTTAAATGTGGATGTTTTTCCGTTTTTGAATTTTTATTCTCGGGACGATCCGTACAGATTTAGACATGTTGATGACTATTCCTTGAAGAAGAATTTTGCGTGAAAGACTAATTTTAAACTCACTTATTTTAATAGAATTATTGAAATGTGGAGTTCGATACCCTTTGATATTAGATTTTCTCTTAGTCTTGCTGTTTTTAAGTCTAGAGTGAGGAAGTTTTTAAGTAAGGAACATTGAAGTTTGTAATGTTTTTATTGTTGATCTAAAATTTCTCTGTCTGTCATTATATTTGACTTATTTAGGTTAATTAGCTACACGGTGATCTGTCTTGCATGGAGCCTTCCACTCTTTTACATATTATCCTTATGGCTTCGTTTGTTTGTACATTTAGATTTATTTATTTGTCATCATTTCCATTAAAATTGTAATAAATTACAATTTTTTAATCAATGTTAAAATGATATCTCTTGGTAGAAATTACGAGTACATTCTCTCTTGTTAACGATATATATCTTATTAACCAAGCGCGAGGGCCGCACTGGGAGAATATCGACCCGGGGTCTTGACAGTACGGACCGAGCGCAGCGAGGTCCGTACAAAAAAGACCGAGGGCCGATATTCTTCCACTACGGCCCTCGCGCTTGGTTAATAAGAGATTTATTATACGACTGAAGTTCAAAGGGACACAAGTGCGGTATCATTCGGGACCATTCGGGACAGTGCCCGGTCCAATACTGAGAGAATATTGACCGGCAATAGTTAAAAAATATATATTTTGGACTTATTTGCATTTTTTCAAAGAGCATAATTTAAAAAAACGATGGCATAATTTGGAAAAAAGAGCATAATGTTAGCATAATTTGGCCAAAAAAAAAGGAATGCTACTAGCATAATATGCCACTTTTATTAGCATAATCTATAAATGCCTACCTCTGACTGCCCGAGTCCTGTAATAAAATAAAATATTATTGTCTGTTTTTCGATGAAGTTTTCAATAAATGCTTCGGAAATTATAAAACTGTCGGTCGATTGGCTTGACTTCACATCTCAGAGTAATCTGACCTCCTCAGATCACAACTGATCGTAGATGACCTCTTCTTGAATGACTTCCCTTTTTAAAAGCAAACTTAGCGAAATCCCACTGTAACAAGTTCACATACAAAGAAAACTGTTTCGTGAGAATCTCAGTTTTTAACTCGAAGCAGGGGCCCATCTCTCTCATTGATACTCTACATGCTTTAATCTGCCCCCCTCGAAGAAATTCAGGGATTGTGTACTACTTGAAGTTTAAAAAAAGAAATTCAATTTAAAATCAACGAACAACTCATACGCCCAGTCGACGCCCCGTCAAACCCAGTCTTTCAGTGGTTGAATTGTGACCGTGTGGAAACTGAATACCATTTCCTTGGGGGAGACCTGGAATAAGTCCATATCTTTCCTCATTTTTATCAGTCTCGCATGGATTCGGTCTCGCATAAGCGATGAAGTTTTACTGCACAGATTGCTTGCTCAAGTGAGTGATTTTCGCCTCGAAAATATATAAAGGTTTTCGCATATGGAAAGAAATAACTTTTTTCATTACTTTGGTATATTTAGATTTAACTGGAATCAGGTAACGAGCGCTTTTTGGACACGATATCCAAACCCGTTCAGTCGACACGTGCTGTCTGAGGACATCATAAGCAGGTAGATATCTCTCGCATTTTCCCCCAACTTGTTATTGTTCCTTGTCATGCATGAAGGATAAGGTAATTCTGGAATCATTTGTTTCGTGTTTTGGTGAAATCTTTGGATTTTTAGCAGTTGTAACAACATCGTGACCGACCACATGCAACCTTGATATGTTGTGCATTGGTTACGTCAAATTTACATTTTGACGCGTTTAAATTACCTTCTCTAATTTGGTTTTTTTTCGGCTTATCCATGGATAACCCGATAGATTTGTTACATGGGTTTAACTTTGCCAAGACTCATTTTTTGAAATAATTTTTCAAGCAATTTGCTTAAAGTGTGTTTTTGCATACGAGTTGGTCGAAATTGTAATTTATTTTCCTTGATACTGGAACTGAAATCTTTTTTGTTGATTAAACCTTAAGGACACTTACACACACGCGTGGATGGACATAAACGAAAGGCATCTTAAATATATAAACACTACCACGAACGAAAGTCCCGAAAGACCTACTGAAACGTTTAAACCTCAAGTAACAATTAAAATGCTTGTCGGTGTTTGTTTCTTATATTTCTCAACATTTTTTCACTCTTCTTCAACATGATTGTACTGGAAGGAAGATATGTTCTAACATCTCTTCGTATGAGGCAAAGCATTGTAGAGTTTTCAAATTGGAAACAATTTTGTTTCTCTCACCTCACTCGGTAAAGCAGTTTGAATGGGAAAAATTGAATGAGAAATTTGCACATACAGTACTCAAAAGTGCTGCTATTGATGAGCCACTGGCATCAAATTCCACAGTGTTTTTTATCAGGCTTCAAAACTCATAGAATTCTAGTTTGGGGCATGGAAAGGTATGGGAAATAATGAAAAAAATCAATTTGGAAGACAAAAAGTAAAGAAGTTGTCAAAAAAATTAGTATTGGGTAATTTGTTATAACATTTTTGAGTCTTGGAGCATGAAGAATGTGTAGGCTCGAAATCTGAGCATAAGCAAAATATTTTATAAACTTATTTAAGTAGTTTAGAATCCATCAGTACCCCTTTTGTCCTGAAGATTTTGTGAAGTAATTTTTGTGATGACTTATTATTTTCAGATCAGTAGTAGGAAACAAGCTAGTGACTAAAAAACTAACTAGGAAGACAAACAGTCCACCCAGATGGGCAGAGAGGGTGAGAAACATTTTGATAACTTGTGTTTTACTTCAACTATTATTAAAAAATTTTTAATTAAGGTTTTGCGTATTCTGACTAAAGTGATAAATGGCAAACAATTATACTTGCCTGTTATAGGATGAGTATGGCATGCAGATATGGTGTGCATATAGGCAGCGCCGTAAGCAATGGTAATTGGTTTTATTGTAATTAATGTGACATTGCAAAATATATGTTAGTTCATCACAGTTTATGATGATGAGTGAATGATAATGCCTGGTTTCCCTAACGATGCAGCACAAGTGCAAGAATAAATGCAAGCATAACAGCTCTTATTTCACTGTGAAAATGATCTTAAACACGAAGGCACGCTATAAAAGGAGCCTTAGTTCCCACTGGACCATTTGTCATCAACCGTTATGTGATGTAGAACTCTTAGAGTCAAGTCAGCTTGAGCTACAGCTACTTCAAAGCAGTGAACAGCGGGTGCATTCCTCAAAATTGTTTTGTGTCTTCATCACAATACAAGAATTTTTGAGATTTTATTTCCTTTCTCCAATGGAAACTGTCTTTATTTTTGGTGGTAAATTTGAGATTGAAGTAGGTGGTTCACATGTTACCTCATGCCACCATGCTGGTGGAAGTAAACAATAGATATCTCATTAGCTCCTTTTATTCGTCTACCAGCATTTAAATCTGACCCACACATTTGACCCACACACAGGTCAACGGTGAGTGACAAATGAGCCTAGGTCTTCCCAGGGAAGACTTCCTTATATAGCATGCCTTGTGTTTAATGTGAGCAGAAAAATGCAAGCACAAGCACTACTTGTGTTAGTGCTTTTGCTTGTTGATGTTTGTTTACATTTGGCATGTAAACCTCGTGCTTATATTTGTGCTTACCCTTATGCTTGCATTGCTAATGAAAACCAGGCTTTGATTGTTTAACTATCAGTTTAACTCTGCAATTTTTTTAAAGACAACTCTTTAAGTTGTGAGACCTGATTAAGACAGCCAATCATGTTCATTATTTTTAAAAAATTATTTAACAAGCAGAAGTTTTAATGGAATCAATCTTCATCATTTCTTTCCTTCCTTGGCTTTTTAGTTTGTGAATTCACGGGTAGCATGTATTGTGGAAGAATCTATTGTTGATCCAGAGGCCAAAACCCTCACGACGTATACAAGAAATATCACATTTACAAGACTTATGGTAGTAGAAGAAAAATGTGTTTATTCAGTACATCCCAGCAACAAAGAATGGTGAGAATTAAATGTTGATAATGCATTGCATTCTGTTATTGTTGTGTTTGGTCTGGGTGAGGTGGTAGGAGGTAATGTACAGTGTATATCTGAAAATAAAACTGATGTGAGGGCAGTGACTTGTGTTTGGTATTGGATCAACTACTAATCCTCTAGAGAAAGGTGCTTTTTGTCTTCTCACGAGTGTGACTTGTTGTTGTCCCATGCTATGGCAAGATCAAAAACATCTTTCTCTATTTCTTTAGCAAGCTCAAAAACTTACCATCTTTCTTATTCTATTTAATAATTGTCTAACTGATATTTTTCTTTATTCTCATTACTTGTCTGCTTGACATCATAATGATATTGTAAGGAGAAATTCTGTCTTGGTCACCTATGGGAGATGAAAGGAGAGAATTAACCACAGGAGCTTGTAGCAAGGCTGTGCTCTAAGGAAATTTGAATGGAGCCCAGTGCTCTGAAACTGTGAAATCCAGAGTGCCCAGCATGATGCTTTTTATGAAAAAAACTAAAATTCATGAGTTGCCCAAGAGCAAAAGTAAGGTGCCAGGGGCCACCAGGCACTGCTAGACCACAGTCTTGGCCTATAGTTTCAATGAATAACATACTGGAATTAATATTGAAAAAATTTGAAATTCTTATTCTTACCTTTGTTTTTGATTAAGGACCATGTGCAAGAAAGAATCTTGGATATCCAGTGGCATTTTTGGCTTTGCAAGACCAGTTGAACGATTTGGAGTTGAAAGATATAAATCAAATTCATCCAAGGTACATTTTTTTCAATACCACGCCTTTTGCAGTTGATTTTATTTGTTGTTACAAAGAGAGGTAACAGTGTATTGGGTGGAACAGGATTCATTATACGACCCATATGGTACGAGAGGCCATGAGCAGGGCTGCAAAAACCTGTTGGCCCATCAAGCTGCATGGGACTGCCTCCCACTTAGCTCAATAATTGGTTAGAGCGCCGGCTTGTGTTGTGCGGGAGGACGAGGGTTCAAGCCCCGGCCGGACCGATACTCATGATCTTAAAATAAGTGAGGAGAATTTGGTACCTTTCTATAATCAAAAAATGGATAGATATTCTAGTCTTCTCGGATAAGGACGAATAAACCGTAGGCCCGTCTCCTGCAGGGTTAGGGGTAGGAGACGTTAATTTCCCACGCACGAGATTACTGTGTTGTGGATGTCCTCCCCTGGGGTGGGATGGGTGAAAAGCGCCTATGGGGAGTGGTCAAGTAACGTATGTAGGTATGTATGTAAAAGAAAGGAGAAAAGGAGAGGTTGATGGTCACATGACTTGAGTTATTTCAGGCTGGATGTGAGATTATTTGGCTTCCAGTCCCCAGGCCCTCACCTCTCTTCACTTGGTCCATACGTCACGACCTTGGGTCAAATATTTTCCCATCCATTCACTCTGTCAATAAGTATAGATTATAAGAATTGTACAGCACTGTACAAAAACACATTCTTGAATGTTTTTTCTCTTTAATTCTAAATTTTTATTTTTTTTTTATCATTAGGCTGTAAAAGGTCTGAATCATGTGCTGGAGAAGCTATATATTCTTGAAAGACCTTCAAGGACACTTCCAATCCCTGTGCCGCAGATGAGTTGATTTGTCAAGTTGCCTTTCCTTCAAATTATGCTAATTTGGGTCCAAAATGTACTGGTCAACAGAATTTTTATGCAGTTTGAACTTGTCACATGGATGCAGCTGCCTGATTTCTTTACTGATACAGTGCATACATGAACATCACCAACAATGGTCATGAATTTTTACTTTTTGCAGCATTGAGAGTTTTAGACTGTTTTTGGCTTGTTTTGGTGAAGATCAGGTGATGAAAAAACATTCAAATTAAAAAAAGAAGACAAAAAGACAACAGAGATAACAAGTTGCTGCAAAAGTTTTGAAAGCAATTGCCTCCACAGTCATTTGTGAATCTTGGCTAATTTCTATTCATGTATGAAGGGATTGCTATCATAGAGGAAAGTAAAATGGTGGCTAGGAAATATGTTGACTCTCATCTCTTTTAAACTGCAATCATTCACTCTCCATACCAAGTAGAAAAACAATTTGACAACAAAAGTTTTAAATCCGGGTACTACTTTTACATGTATGAATTTAGATTGCCATATGGTGACTTTAAAAAATAGTGAACTTTAAGCCCTGAATCTGTATCAAACATTTTTACGTACACTTGAATAGATATTTTCTTTGTTGGGAATAGTTCACAGACTTCATAGGGAAAACCAGTTTACATATTGTATTAAACTGTGGGGCATTTATAAAATTTAAATTCCAATGTAGAAGAGCTTCAAGGAAGGCAATGATTTTCATATCAGTTGGAAACTTTGTTTAAAATATTTTCATTTTTCATTTAAGTCTCTGTTATAATTTAAGTGCAAAAGCAGTTACATTCTCAGTTGTAATGTATTATGTTAGAAAACTTGTTTTTGATCAATCTGTAATTTGTTAATTTATGAGTTCAAAGTTGGCAGGTAGTGAAAGTGTCTGTAAATATTTGACCCTTGAAATGTTTAATAAATAGTTTATGACAATTTAAATGACAATTCTTTCATGGTAATTATCAGAATAGTTATTTTCGGACTCTGGCCAAGGATATTAACAGCTAAAATGAGTATTTTGGTTAGTACTTTGGTGTTTTCTTAAAGTTAAGTAGCAGCACTTCAAAAATTGTATTAGTTTGAGAATTTTGAAATAAAATCTGATGAAGGAGAATCAAGTGGTATTTGTTTGCCTCCTCCTCACCTTACAGTATGTGAATCAAAATTTTACAACAGTAGAATACATACTGTAGTTGTACTCTTGGACTTGAAGCATTTAAAATTTACTATTTTGAAATATTTCTTAGTTCATTAGGGCTTTAGTGTTTTTTTAAACTGCTTTTTTTTTTCAATTTTATTTCTGAACCCCCCTCCCCCTCCCTTATGATCAAAAAATGATCCTTGCAACTGATTTGCAATTTAAAATTGCAGATAAGAGGCCTGAATAAAATTCAGGCCTTAACTTGATAAGAAACCGTATTTCCTTGACATCAGTTGTGGAATTTTCATTTGAAATCTCGTGGGTATATCCTGATGATTGTTATGTTACATAACATAACGATTAGGCAATGTTAACCGGTGGAAGTTTTCATATCCGCTACTTTGAAATTCCGGAAATGATCGAACGTAATTACGGTCATATCAAACAATGAAAGAATGACAGCAACAGTCAGAAACAGGATGGCGGCTGATATCAAGCTTTACCGCCAGAGATGTGTTACAGCACAGCGATTGGATGATCGATGGTTCCACCATGATGATTGCGAGGCAAAACAAGCGTTTCGTTGGGATTGTGTCAAAGGGTTAATCTACTGGAGGAATGAATCTACGCAGTAGTTAGTGCATGTAAACTGGGCAGTTGTCATAAATTTTCACGAAGTTACGTTATCAAATGGATGTCCTTTGGAGGAAGTTGTAACTTCACGACCCATGGGGATTTGAGATTGTGGGTGCGTGATACGTCCGGGCGACCACACAAATTGCGAGTTATGCTTACAAGTAAAAGTAAAAGTTTCTCAAGCCTGATGTAGTACCACTCATTAGAAGAGAGGCCAGTAAGAATTAGTTATGGGGTCTGGGAGTTCTATCACGAAAAAAGTGATCGTGGACGATGAATTTAGCGAGGGAGATTCCATGGTGACCAAGAATATTCCCATCGAATGTCCGCCTGGACGAAAAACTACATCGCTTAAACCCAGTGGCTCGATTGGTAAGAAAAAGAGTAGAAGAAGCACAAAGGCAAAGCCAGTTATTAAAAGCTTTAGTCTCCGCTCTGCATTTTCTGTGGAGCTAGAGAGAGAAGCTGATGAACTCCGTAAAGAGCTTGAAATTTATCGACAGAATAAAGCTACAGAAATTGCCGAACTTGAAGTTAGAAAGGAGAAATTGCACAGCGATAACCAGCGGCTTCGTGGCGAGATCAAAGCTTTACAAGCCACTTGTTTAAAGTTAAAGAACGAAAGGGCTATGGCATTGGAAGGAAGGGATCAAGCGCTTCAGAGAGCTGCAGCATTTGAGAAAGGTGAGACAAAATCTGTATGTGCCCAACTGGGATTTGTATTACATCACCATGTGCAGCTGTGTTTACATACACTTAGGAGCTTGTCATCGAATTTTTGAATTAACTGGTTCCATCGTGATCGAGCACACATGGAAAATAATCAAACGCTTAGATTAATGAAGGCATTTTGTGTTATAAATAATTGATTTTGTCGTAGTCACTGTGAGCGAGGCAAGCGACATACATATTGTCATGCATGCCTAAGATTAAAGTCTGCAGTTCATGTTACACCAATTGTGGATCGTGACAATTTCTTTGTCCTTGATCAATGATCATCACTTAGCTAACCAAGGACTTTAAACTCTCTATTGTTAGTTAATTTAATAATTTGAACAGAGTCCCACAACATTTCCATACATTAAAATGACCCAGTGTTTTTTTTTTTTTTATGTTTGTAGCGGATATTGGGCAAGTAATATAATATTGCTCTCAGGTTTTTCGTTGGGTTTTCAATCAAAAGTCTGGTCATGGTGAATTCAGAGTTGCTTGACTTAGAATACCGATCATTTCAGGGCAACTCTGCTCAAAACCTAGAAATGTATACATAATATACAAACTTCTACTGAAAAAATGTCTATCTAAAGATGACAGCAATGCCCATATCCGGCAACAGGTTTGGGTAATATATCTTACAGGGTTGTACGTATCAGAACACACAAATTTATGAACTTTGTTTCTGAATTTTGTATTTCTGCAATTTATCAAAACAAAAGAAATGACAAATTGGGAGTTAATTGCAGTTTTGATGGTAGATACTTTCCACAACATTATTCAAGGAAAGGTTTTCCGAAGGACATTTTACCCTGCTCTCTCAACACGAACTGTTGTTTCTCTTTAACTAGGATTTCTTAACTGTAGCTTTCATGAATTAGTGCCAAATTTTTGAAAAACACACCCCACTTATAATTTTTTGTGTTACTTGTAGTTAATTTACTCTAATTATCCTTTATTTCCTTCTAAAATACACTCCCTCCTTAATTTAGTTTTTAGATCTTCAAGATCCTGAGTTCTTTTTTCATCTCCTCTACAAATGCTTTTTAGTATAACAACATACAACGTTTTTGTGATACTGTTGCAATGTACTGGTAGTTTACATACTTTTTATGTTTTTTGTTAATCTAACTCTTTGAGTTAATTAAGAAACTTTTAGATTAGCTTCTTGATTGTGCCAGAAGAATTTCTGTTTTATTGTGGAAACATTGTTATTGCCTCTTCCGTGATCTCCTCAAGCTGTGGGCAGTTTGCCCTAGGAAATATTTTATGTTTGTGGTTGAATTAGTCAAGATGACAATTTTTGTAATCTTGTTAAGAAGCTAAGCTTTCATTAAAAGTGTTCGAATAATTAAAACAGCGACAGAAATGTACAGGCTTGTCAAGACATACCACTGTTCACAATCTGGTGAATAACTAATCAATTGAAGGTTTCTGTGGAGATAGAATTCAGAGTAACTTTGATGCGATGATGAAATTACATTGCGGTATTTGTAATTTGTCGCATATCACTCAAAGCAGTTCTGCACAGCCCTTTTAGGGCAGTGCAGCCGTCAAATGATTGAGAATTTATCAGAGCAGCTTAGAGCAGCTGAATTTATTGGTGCCATCTCATTATCTGTCTTAACAAACAATTCCATCTGACCATCCTCTTTGAGAGGAATCTGTTTTTTTTTTTTTACAATTACAGAGAAATGATCTAGTCTCTGTGGAAATTTCTTATTGGTAAGAATACTCCAAAAGTAGACAAGCACAAATGACTTTTTGGAATATTTGTTATTAGAAACCATTTCTTTGTTCAAAAGAAGTGTATGTTATGTTCATGCAATTTATCTGGTTTGTGTTGAGATTGATTACAACTTGAGAGTAGTGGTGGCCTTACATGAGGTGGTCACCATGTCAAACACGAGTGTTGAAAAGTTGTTTTTGTTGCGGCGGTCAGCTTGACATGGCTACCAGTGGTGTGTGAGAAATAGTCATAGTATCATATAGCGAGCAAGGCTAGAATAAGCATTATTTACTTGATCCAATCGCAGTGTGCATAAAGTTCTTAATTGTGACTTGATAAATGTTTTTTTTGGCTCCAAGACAATATGGGTTATTGTAATTTAATGCGAAAGATTGAAGTGAAGATTTAAAAATCTGTCTAGGAATGCACTGATTACAATCTGTCAGTTACCGTGTTAACCCTTTGATCCTACGAGTGACCAGCATCTAAATTCTCCTTACAATATCACCCCTGGATCACACATTTAGGTCACGAGAATAAAGGAAATGATCACGAACCGAAGAAGCTCCCGATTGTAGAACAAATTCTCTTTGTCAGCACTTAAGGAAATATATTAGAACAGTATAGAGAATATGCAGGCTGATGTTAGTGTGTTAAGGGTTAATTAATTAATTAAATAACTTTGACGTGAAGATTTCAAAATGAAAAACATTTTAAGTCGTAAAGGTAAGCAGGCAAATTATTCACCAAACTTGATTGTTTGCCAAAAAGGACAAATAAGACAGATTACACAAAGGAGATACTGTGAAATCTCTCTTGTTCAACAAAGCAAGAGATGCACAGACAATAAATTAAAAGTATAAAAACAATGATCTGTAATTTATAACCAGGAAGGCGAAAGGAGCGAGTCTCCGCCGTCATGTTATGGTACAGAGAGCAGATAGCAGCCTTAAATGACTGATGCATATCTAAAGTAAAGCAATTCAATTCTAACCAGTGGTTCAGCATTATTCTCATGCTTATAAGAGGTTAAAACCAATTGATGGAAAATAACAATTTTTACCACAAAGACAATTCTTAATTTAGGTGTGCTCTGAAGGATGAGCACAGCCAGCTAGAATTCCCAATTGATGTGGGCGTAGTAATGTCGATATTTGTAAAATGAGAATAACGAATGCTATGTTCTTTGTTAGAGCGGGACAAGGTTCAGCGGCAGTTCAAAATCTTCAGAGAATCCAGAGAACGTGAAATCCAAGATGTACTACAAGCAAAGCGTGACCTTGAACTGCAGTTTCAGCAGTGTTTGTCAGTATGGTCCCGAGATGAAAACAGGTCAGAAATTATGGGCAACATGGCCACAGACTGGTGGGCATCATCTTTAGAGAGTGACCCAAGTATTGACAGTTTAACACAAGTGACATCTTTTCGGGGACCTGAGTTCTTTCACAGTCCATTGGAGAAAGAAGGACCTTTCACAAACATCAGTAGAGGTACAATATCATTACACCCTTTAATGCGCGTGTGGCTTAAGAGTGACAAGCATCACATTTCCCCATGCAGTTTCACCCCTGAATCAAATATTTGTTAAGGTCACAGGAACAAAGGGTACGATTGCCAGTTGAGGAAGCTCAAACAATAAACAAATTATCCTATCTTGTCTAGCCCCTGCAATGAGGGATCAAACCTTTTGACTTCCCTGATAGCTTAGTTGTAGCATTTTTCCGCTTCTTTTTCTTTCTTTTTGTGTGCATTTGCGCTATCTTGCTGACCATTAACTTATTTTCATTTAATGTTGTTGCCTACTGGCTGCCTGGCTCCACTAGCCCCTTTGCATGGTTATTCCAGACAGCCAGTACTCTATTTCTTTTCAATATTGTTATTTAACTTGACACAGCCAAGGGAGTACAAATGAATATTGTTGTTGTTGTTGTTGAACTGTCGGCTGATATTCCTAAATCTGGATTATAGTTCACAAACCCTTTAGACCAAGGCAAATATTTTTGTGTGGGATTTCACACTCATTGTCAAGGCCTGCGAACTTTATTTATTTGTCCACGAGAGAGAAGTGCTTGTCATGTGGTTTCTTTTTGGCATTCAGCAATCCAAGAAGACTGCACAGATTCCAATTAGTGCTTTTACATAGCGGTTTGTATGGTGGCCATTTCTCTTCTCAGCTGTTTTGGAGAACTTATACAGAATTAAGAACTGAAGGCAGCCTGTTAAGTGTTTCCTCTGTAGTTCTTTGTTGTATTTTTTAACTTCAAAGTTGGTTATTTGTACTTGGATGCAAAGAAACTTATTTCATTTATGTTTGCGCTACACTCGGTTCCTTAGGCTGTGTGTGATTTCAGTTGTGTTTTTATCCCAGTATGTTTTGCCATAAATTTATTACGCTCAGTTTCAAGATTTGCGAAAATCAATTATTAGCATTTACTACATTTTTGCAATGAATTATCATGCTAGGTTGTCCTCCAGATGGAAATTGTCATGTGATCCTAAATCGCTAGTGACGTCATGTGCAAGAGGTCTATAGAAAAGTTTTAGAACTTAAAAATTGTCCATTTCAACCTTGCAATGAAAAGAACCTCATTTCACTTACATTGCTTCTTCAGCTAAACTAAATAAACTTTTGAGTTTGAAAACAAATCTCTATCACTGACCTCATCAGTAATAAGAAGGGAATATCACAAACTCTTTTACAGATGGGTCGTACCAGTGGTACATTTTAAAGTGAAATATGAGTGCAGAAAATAAATGTTACACACAGTGATCACAGTACTAGTAAGTTGAATAACTCTCAACCCTAAATAAATAATAATCTTCATTCGCAGGGGGAAGAATTAGCTAAAACAAATCCATGAACGAAATGTAATATTCGGGGACTTGCACAAATTGCATTTAAATCACGACCATCCTGAAATGCACCAGGATTAAAAAAAAAGATCAGTAAATATACAAACATCAGTGAAGTGAGCAAATAACCACATGTGTGACTTCCATGTAATCTAAAATTTCTAACAAGCATTGCATCGACAACAGAACAATAAGAGATTTGGCTTGTCTGACTGTAGGATAAATTACAGCAAAAGTTTTGATTTTGCAAACAGGTTTTTCAATAAATACCTCTTGTGATGGCTTTAGAATGATGCTCCCAGAACTAACATGAAATTATTCCCAACTAATATGTTACCAACTCCTAAGAAGCTTTATATATTAGTGAGTACCTGTTTTGTGCTAGCACAAAAGCCTTTTCGCTGATCTGGGAAGCTTTCCTTTCATTTATGTTGTTGCCCACATTCGCTTTCTCTGTAATTACATAATATTTTTTATTTTCTTGTATTTTGATCTATATTGGATTATTCACGCCTGTCAAAACAATGGTGCTAGCCAATCTCTGGCCACCAATCCATGCAACATTTGATCATCCACAAACATTGTTTTTCTTCATTCGCTGGAAATTATCTCAAATTGTTCAAGATTGAACACAGAAGTGGTTTGAGTGACAGTTCAGTGCATGGTCATGTAACTTACAATTCAGTCATGCCACTTGTTTGAGGCACGGCATATTTAGCACCAGTCTGCCTTTCAAGCTTTTTTTGGGGGGCTTTCTTGGCATCAAAAAGGATTTTCTTGTATTTTGGGGAGCTTAGAACAATCTGTTGAAATGTCTGCCCCTTTGGAGGTAGGAGGGGGGGTTGAAAAGAATTATTTGGCTTGAATGTGCACTTTTCACATTAACAAAGAAGTGCATTTTTTTGGTGTGCTTAACAAATGCTATTCAAAATTTTGCATTTGTGCTCTTTAATTACAAGGGTGGCATGTAGCGTTGAGTGATAAGACTAAAACCAACAACTGCAAATGAGACCATGTGTAAAAAGTAGTAGCAGAAAGATTTTTTGTTTGTTTTTTTTTTTCAATGACTGTTACAAAAAATATTTATTGCTCCAAATATTTCCAGTATTGCCGTACAAGCAAACAAATAGCCCAGACCACCAAAAGATAATTTATCTGTTGAAAATGATGACCAACAGTAAACATCCAACAACATGCCAAAAAGCTTCCAGGGAGGGAGGGAAAGGTATTTTGCTTAATATATATATAAGTTAATACCCCAGATCCCTCATGTGAATTTTTATTTGTTTAAATGATTCCTTGCACAATGATTTCTATCCAGACTGACTGATTCCAGGCCTAATTTCACCCCTGTAGCATTGTTGGCTCACAGTGAGGGACAGTTTTACTTCTATTCAAAAACCCCTCACAACTACCTTGTCGATGACATCCCACACAAGTATGCATTGCAGACCTATTTTTTTCTTGATTCACTCTTAATTCAGATGATTGGAATGCAGTTGTACCCTCTGTTCTGCAGCTTGCATCACTAAGTCTTCAAGCCCCAGTCCAGCAGCAAACAATTAAAATGTACATATCTGCACCAAGTGGCATGCAACAGGAAGTGGATCTTTTCAAGCAGGTAAGTGCTCTTGATATTCTTGCCAAAAATGTGTTTCCTGTCTTCAACCTTTAGACTCCTAAGAGTGACAAGCATCTAATTTCTCCCTACAAAATCACCCTTCAGGGTCAGATCTAGGGGGAGGGTGCAGGGGGTGCACACTCCCCCCCCCCTGAGATGACCTGCGGCTTTCTAATACAAGTGGTATTCTACTGTATCGTTTGATATGTATTCTCAGTAGATCATATTATTTTATTGCCTAGGCAAAAGCCTTCTTCGTATTCACTTTTACAATTTGTTTACGTTTGGTCACCAGTCAGTTACGCCATTCTTTTGTGGTGCACTCCCTCCTCAAAAAAATCCTGGATCTTCCCCTGCCCTTGAATCACACATCAAGGTCACGAGAGTAAAGGAAATGATCATCAACTAAATGAATTCTTGCTTGTTAAACAAATTCTCATTGTCAGCACCTTAGGAAATGTATCAAGCACAGTTTAGGGAATATGCTGACAACAATCATTCACTTGACTCTGATGATGACTTCTGCACAGGTTGTTGAAACGTCAGTCGCTACCACCGACAACAGTCCTTCTCAGGACTACACCCACCCGGACGATAAAAAAAAAACAAAAAATTCCTTCACATGTTACCCCCGGGTTCAAGCCATTTACTGCAATATGCACACTGATGTTAAGGTTAATCTCAACGCTGAGGATCTTTTTGTAAGTTACTGTGTAACTGCTTATTAGATTATAGCTTATCTTAAGATGAATAGGGTGTGACACATGCAAACAAACGTCAGAGGATGTGATATTGCAGACTTACAGATGATTTGATTTTTAACAGTTATATGTTCCCAAGCTTGAGTGGTTTTGTGAAAGTCATGGAAAGTTCCTGGTAGTTGTTCATTTGGAGGAAACAGAGGAAGACTTAAATGAAGAGGTACAATTTCACTAAACAACTTTTTGGGATCAATGTGCACACTAACTCAAACTTAAACCTAACCTGTTATCAGGTGACTGTTGTTGAGTTAGGGGAGGGGTGGGTGAGCAGTTACTTAGATAATGACTTTGAGCATATTATTTAATATCAATAACTGCTGTTAGAGCATTACATGCTCTAAATCCTTTAGTAAGTCCCCCCTCTAATAAGCCTCCCTTTTTAGAGGAAGAAATGTATTAAGCCCCCCCCACCCCTCCCCCTCAAAAAAACAAAAATTCAAATTAATACTCCTCAGTAAGTGTGATAAATTTATCCAAATACTTTAATTTTAGTTTGTCATTTAAAACTGATTATGGTGATTGATTGATTGATTGATGTTATCACAGTGGCATCTTTAGAATACAGTGTACAGAATTACAATTTGTAAATGAAAAAATGTAAAATGAGAACAATTTTTGAATAAATAGGGTACATCATATCCTATTGTATCCTGGTTGTGAACATCGGGCTAAACTAATGATTAATAATTAATAAATAATAAGAATGACTAATAATTAATAAGCCCCCTGGGGTCTGATTAGAGGATTTATGATAATAATTAAAGTTTTAAATGTCAAGAAATCATCCCAATCCCAATTTAAGAGTTTCCTTGACAGCTCTCTAAATCACTGTGAAAATAATTTGAGTATTATGATATTGAGAGAGAAGGTATTGAATGTTTTCTTTTTAAGGATGTGGTGACGATGGTCCAGATGAGAAGAAAGCAAATCAAGGAGAGTAAGGTGTTTGTTGCATTTTTGGGTGGAAAATCAAACAGGTTTGTCTAAGTTTCGTTTAAATGTTTTCCTTATTTGATACTCATGTTTCATTTCCTACACCTGAACCTTTAACTTTCAAATTGTTTCTCATCACTCATTTTTAACAACTTAGCCCTTCACACCCATATTCTCCATACCGTTCGCTATACATTTCGCATGGTGCTGACAAGGAGAATTCGTTTAACAATCAGGAGCTTCTTTCATTGGTGATCAATTCCTTTATTCTTGTTTCCTTTATGCTTGACACAGGGACGATAGTGTTAGGAGAATTTAGATGCAAGTCGCTCGTAAGGAGCAAAAGGATTAGACAAGGAAGAAATAGAAATTAGGCCAACCTACCTCTCTCATTTCAGGATTTTTTTTTATGTACTATATTCTATTTGTACTGTAAACTGTTAATATGTGTTCTGATGTCTAAGAAATAGCTTGTTCAATGGTCTACTCTCTCCTCTGGTTTTGAACCCAAACAGGAATTTAGTCCGTTTGCATTTTGTTTTCTCAGTTTTACTTATGAAGAGTTCCACGAAGCACACTTGAGGAACCCTGGAAAATGCCATGCCTTCTTCTGTTTCAAGGACCCAGACTGGGATAAGTAAGTGAAAGATGTTTGACTTACAACTTTATTTGTCTTAGATATGTCAGGGACACAGCAGGAGAGGATCCAGAAGAAGGAGGGGGAAGGGGGGAGGATCCCTGTGGATCTACATCTACTGTGGGTTTTTTCATGACTCATCTGATGACAAAATTCTCACAACAACAAGATGGCATGTGGGTCCTACTCAACTGGCTGATATTTCTGTGAAAATGCAAGTGAAGGTTGGGACAAGGGGGGGGGGGCAATCTTATCAAAAAAAATTCCTGGATGTACCCCTAGATTGGTGAGACATCTGAAGGTAATGAGTCATTAATAATTATTCTTCTGCATAAATTTTCTACAGTAATCCATCTCTGAAAGATGAAAGTATTTTTCTGGCAGAGCAGTTGAAGACAGAAATCAGGAAAACCGAGGACATGAAGGTACTGTAATTGGAATTATGGTAACTAGGGTGGGTTAATTTTCACCAAAATTTTTCACAGTTATTTTTAAGCTGACTTTATAATAAACAACTTTTTGGTAGATTACACCTGTATAGAAATATGATTTGTTATTTTTGTCATCATAGCTGTTTGACAACTATGAGACAGCAGAAAAAGGAGCAGAGCTTGTGTACAGAGAGCTTAAGAAACTCTTAGGCAAGGTAAGGTAATGACAGCTGTTAAAGACTTTAAACACTGAACAGATTAAGTCTTCCCTGGCTGTTTCAAAATGCTTTGTATGTTCTATTTCTAAAAGGAGTCAGTGTTGTAAGTAAACTTGTTTATTGTTGTGATGGGATTATGTTGCAGAAGGATTTTTGAAAAAAAAAATTTTGGCCATATGAAGGGGATTGTCATAGCAACTTGTTCCTCTGACATGTTCCTTAAAGTGTTTTAGTGTCAACTGGTCAGCTTGGTTTCAGAAACTATCCCTAAATCCAGAGGGCTTGGGTAGCTCTTTTGTTGTAGAGTGCAGGACTGCTTGTAGGTCAATGGTTCAAGCTCCAGCCCAGACCAGTGCTCCGGGCTTTAAATTAACTGAGGAGAATGCGCTGCCTTTGTTTTGACACCTGCAAATGGTTGAACATTCTAATCCTCTGGGTTGAGGATGGTAAATCATACACCTGGTCCTGCATCTTCTTTGTATTTGTTAGCAGAGGATATTAGAGAACCCATGCATTTCTTGCAAAGCGTAGGAAATGTAGCTCCTGTTTTTGTGGTCTGGCCTTGTTATTGTTCGTACAGGTCCCCATTGAAATCAGCTTTAAAGCTGCACTAGGCCTGCCTGTCTAAATATTGCAAATAAATGACCAAATTGATTAAATCCTTGACTCAATATTTCCTCTTTTCTTCAGGAACTTGGCTTATTAGATGATCATTCATCAGTTGTTGACACTCACTTTCTTGATGGTTCTTCTTGGGATATGGCTGAAGACTGGGAACAAGTTGAAACATTGAAAGCTGCTGCAGAATGCTCCTGTGAAATGGGACTAGGACTCAGTAAAGTAAGTTAAGGTTTGGTACAAGTATCAAGCTGCCATTGTGAAAAGCTTTGTAAGAGAACTCTCTCTGTCCCACCATTCAGTTACCTGTCACTACAATTAAATTGAACCCTTTGACCACCAAGAGTGCACAAGCTTCTTATTTCTCCTTACAATATCACGCCTGAATCACACATTAATGTCAGGAGAATAAAGGAAATGATCACCAACTAAAAAAGCTGTTGATTGTTTAACAAATTCTCCTTGTCAGCACCTTAAGGAATGTTTAGAGAACAGTATGGAGAATATGCATAGTGAAGCTAAGATGTAAAGGGTCAGATGGTTTAGTAGCAATAGTGTCTATTCCTTTACTTGAAGTGACTGATATTTGAATTCTCCAAACAACAGCAATACTTAAATTAACACAAAGGTAACAAGAATACACAAACCCATCAGTTAAAATCCTTAATAAACTAGTCTACTAGGAACAAGGAGTAACAGTATTCCTTGATTAATTCCCCTTAATGCATAGTAATTACATTGGACATCTGTAATAATTTATGACATGTAATCTTTACTGTCAGTTCTACAGCGACCTCAATGAACATGTCTCCAGTGCAGGACTGAAAGCTCCAATGCTTGTTAAGGGTGATGCTGGTTTTGGAAAATCACTTCTCCTGGCAAAATGGTGGGTAGCCTTGAGTTACACTCAGCCAGCAATGTTTTTTTTACTCGAGGCCTTGGTATAAAGAGAAAGAAGCATGTTTGGGCTTAGTTGATAAATAAAAGAATGTGACTGAATTAAGTAATATTGTGGAATAGATAGGGTAAGAATTCAGTTAGAACCTCTTTTGCTCCGTTGTTTATTATAGGGTGTGGCCCCGGGTGTGGCATCATGCAGTGTTATATTTTATAAAATATGGACAACATGAAAAATATTTTATACATTTTGTTCAGCCTGACAACCTGAAAGGAAGCTAGTTGTATAATCATGTAAATTAAGGTACTTGTTAGTCCATATATTTTCTGTTTTTGAGAATGAAGTCATCCCTTCAATTTATCAAGGTTTAATCTTTTCACACATGTTCTCTTTTTCATTCAAGAGTTGGACCAGAGGGTCCTTTGATGTACTCTTTGTAATCATAATGATGTGAATGTGGTAGAAAGTGGGCTGACAATTTTTTAACATTTTCATCATTGTTGTTCATTCAGGATAGCTCTTCAACAAAGCAGCTTGTCTGGACGGCTGGTGTTGTATCATTTTGTTGGATCGTCATCATCATCCAGTGCTAATTCAATTCTGATGATACGCAGGTTTACTGTGCAGGTAAAGTGTGGTGAAGTGCTGGAGCACTTGTTGTTTCACCTAAAGCTTGCCAAAATACATTTTGTTTACTGTGTGTTACTTTGGTAGATTTTTGGATTGATGTAATTTAAGTAGTTTTTGCAAAGATTTTTTTTTGGCATCCAAAGGTTTTTGTTAAAAAATTTTAAGATTTGATTTTTTTGCAGAGGCATCACTATCACCATTGGCATTATTACTTCTCAAACCATTTCACTCCCAAGATCTCCTTGTTAATTCTCCTTACTGAATGCCAAACAATTCTTATGGTTTTAGTTCAGAGAATTTGGAGCTGGAACAACTAATAATCCCTTAACTGATATTTTTCTTTATTCTCATCAACTTTTCTGCTTGATATTGTATTGATATTGTAAGGAGAATTTCTCTTTTGGTCACTAATGGAAGTGAAAGGGTTAACCCTGTAACTCCTAGAAGTGATCAAAATGTAACTTCTCCCTTTAATATCCATACATGATCCAGCAAACAGGTTATGAGAATACTCAAAGTTATCAGGTAGAAGTTGTTCATCTTGATCGAACACCAAATTCTTAGAACTATTTTACAGGGAAATGTCTAGCAGCTAGAGGGGAGGATTAGCAATCAGATCTTGGAAGTTGAAGGGTTTTTGAACAGTGTCATGGTTGTTGCAAAGACAATCCTTCCATGAAAATTGCTATTTCAGGGCTCAACACTAGCTTTTCAACTTGCTAGCCAAGTGGCTAGTGACATCTAAGATGTTTTTAGATGTTACGACAATTTCAGTCTCTTTACTAGCCGAGCTGGCTAGTGGAAATTGAAAACCAATAGCCAAAACTGAATTTCTACTAGTCTGTGGCCAGTGGGCTACCGTTAGTGTTGAGCCCTGTATTTATTATTTTGAGTTAATTCAAAAGATACATTTTGGTACTTTTGTTACTTTGTAAAATTTAGGGAAACATCTCAAGATGAACTCTTCCAGATTTATAATAATATTATATTAGTTTTTGTTTTTTAACATCTTAGTTGATGAAGCAGTTGGCATCATCACGCACAGTGCCATGCGACCCAGTCCATTTGGAAGAAGAGTTTCCACGATGGCTGGAGAAAGCTGCCTCCAAAGTCCACGGAGGCATCACCATAGTGATTGATTCAGCTGATAAACTACAAGTATGAAAATATTTCTGTGTTAGCATTGCATGCCTTTCTTCAGTTGGTTGTTGGATAATAAAGTACTCTCTCAAGTGAGGCTTTGACACTTTAAACCCTAAGAGTGACCAGTGTATAATTTTATTTTTCCTCTCATGCAGTAATGCTGGTGAATGATTCATTACAGTCCTGATAATAAAGGAAATGATCACCAACCCAAGAAGTTTTAATTGTGAAATGAATTCTCCGTGTCAGTAACAAATTAAGTGTATAGAAAAGTGTATTAAGGAAAAGGATACTGATGTTAAAGCGTTTAGAGTTAAACTACAGTTTTTGGTGAAATAATGTTGCCCAGTGATATATTGATCAATGGCACCACTTAATTAAGTATGTAAAAACTTGCTACTGTCTTTGACCAAATACAGTCAGTTCAGGGCCTCACTTGAAACAGTGACATACAAGTTATCCAAACTTTCGTCAAGTATTTATATTGGCCCAAGGTCTTGACAGTACGGACCAAGCGCAGTGAGATCCATACAGAAAAGACCGAGGGCCGATATTCTTCCAGTATGGTCCCGAGCAAGCTTGGTTAATAAGAGATTTATTATACGACTGAAGTTCAAAGGGACACAAGTGCGGTATCATTCGGGACCATTCGGGACAGTGCCCGGTCCAATACTGAGAGAACGTTGACCTGCAATAGAGCATTTTTATTGGTTGATTTTAGTTATTGGCCCTCTGACTGCCCGAGTCGTGTAATAAATAATGATTTATTAAAGATTGAAAGGTCAGTGGCTTAAAGTGGTTTGTCATGTGCTTTAGTTATTTTGGGAATAATTTTAATATCACTGTTACTTTATGCCTCATCAGGGTGCACCAAATCACATGCAGTGGTTGTTAGATCCTTTGCCTGTTGGTGCAAGAGTTATTTTATCAGTGACAGAAAACACTTGCCCCATGGCCTGGAGGTAAGTCTGTTGTTCAAATCACAAGGAAAAAACCCTTCTACCCTTACACTCTCTAACACCAATTTCTCAGAGCTAAAAACTGAAAGCTCTATTCATGAGTTTTTCCATTCAGACCTCCTGGCTGATGCCTGCATGTTTCCAAGTACAATTGAAACTGTGTTAAGGCGCACTGTATTAAGCAGTCACTCTTTATTAAGGGGTCAGTTGCCAGTCCCAGATTTGTTTCTCTTAAATCACTGCAATTTTCACCTCCATTAAGCAATTGTGGTCACCTTTTACTAAGTCCCAATGGCCTGTTTGTATTGTCCTCCACCTGTACTGAAGGTGCACTTAAAACCAAACCACTCAAATAAGACTAAGAATAATCTCTTTTAAGAATTATTTTGATATTATAATGAAAATTAATTATAATATTATTAATATATAATATTATTACATGTCATTAATATTATTATTATAATATTATTAATACTATTATATATTATTAATTATAATATTAACTTATTTTGATAATTTTAACTTTATTTTAAAATGATTTCATCTCTTTTAAGAGATTAAAAGTAATCTCTTTTTACAAAAGTAATTTATAATCTATGTTTCTCTCCTAAAATCAAAGTAAGTAGTATTTTTGGGCAAGATTCACTACATTAAGTCGTCAATTATGGCATAAAGTGGCCTTGTTTGCTTTTTTTTAAAATAATACCTTAACCTATGGAACCTGTATTTCACGGCGAACCTGTTTTGGGGGGTCATCCTACCATTCCCTGTGGGTGACTGTAAAATATGTGATAATTTTGACTGTAAAATATGTGATTATTTTGACTGTAAAATATGTGATTATTTTGACTGTAGGCCATGGTCATCGCTGGAACTTCAGCCCTTGGATTTCAAAGGCAGTGTTGAATTGTTAGCTTCTTCTTTAAACAAGCAAGCTGTTAATGTACCTCAAGAACAGGTAGGGAAATGAGTTACTACTGGTCAAAATGGCATCATTTTTTTCTCCACGTTTTACGGATTTTGTGTCAAGTTTCCACTAAAGTTTACCATGATTGCTACTTTGTTTCCATTGTCATTAACCTTTACTTTTAATTTTACATCATCGTCATTGTCATTATCACTATCAATTGTTTTAATTTTTAGTATCATTAATTATTATTGTTATTATCATTTTCATCTCTGTCATCATCATTATCATTGTTTTCAATAGGTCAGCAGAATGCTTCATAATTCCCCATCTGAGGACAAATTTAATCCAAGATTTCTAACTCTACTGGCTGCAGAGATGGCCCAGTAAGTAGCATTCACAATTGAGCAATTTCCTTCTTCAGTTGTCGCAATCCGTGTTGATTAATTCCTTAAAATAGTGTTTATTAAGAGTGGCTTTAACCGTTTTACTTCCAGAGGTGATAAACTTGTAGCTTCTCCCTCTAATATTCGTACATTACTCAAACTTATTTGGTTGGGATTTTTGTTTTGATCTAACACCAAATTTTCTTAACTAATGCACAAGGAAATGCAAAGGAGCCAGAGAGGTTAATTTATTTGACAATCAGAACCTGGAAATTAAAGAGTTAAGAGTAATTCATGATTTGAAATTCACGGGTGAGAAGAGGGAGCGTGTGATTCACATTTTAAGTTTTATTGTTTTCTTTGGTAGATGTGAAGATACGAAAGTTTTGTTTGACCACTTTGCAGACTGTTTATCTCAAAAGGTTTGTATTTCAACCCAGTTATTAACATGTTCTTGTTACTCTTCTTGTTACGCAGCATTTTCTCATCCCTTAGTTTGGTTGACGTGATTAAGCAATGGCCGCAAAATGAAACTACTGTCACGCATGGGCAAACGTTTTCATCACACAAGTCGCGCATTATTTTCGTCCGTCCTCGCATAAAAACCGTACATGTACGTCTGACTGCCCTGCGTCTTAGCATATGAAATCCGTCTGCGTAATCAACGTATAACTGCGCGGTATTGTAGTTAGCTGGCCTATTGGAAGGGTCTCCCACAAAGTTGGGTGTGCCAAATTAATTTTTACTTCCTTATAATAATAGGTTGAGAATTGGAGAGCTTTTAGTGTGATCGTAGAGTATTTAACCCTTTGAATCCTAAGATTGATTAGCATCTGATTTCTTCTGACAGTATTACCCCAGAATCAAACATTAAAGTCATAAGAATAATGAGAATTGATCAACATTTATCAGAAACTCTTAATTGATAAGCAAATTCTCCTTGTCGGTACTTTTGGAAATATATAGAGAACAGTATGGAGAATATTCATACTAATGTTAGGATATAAAGGTTTAAGGAACTGTGGCAGAGCTATAATTCTCTTGAGCCGGTAGGGGCTTAAAAATGGACGACGACTCTGCTTAGCCATACCTGTTCCGTTTTTTAGGTACCCTTAAGATAGTTAATGAACGTTACAGCTTTTTTCATATTCTCTTTTACAGAACACTGTTGACCTTTTATGTCACATTTTGAGCCGCATTAAGAAACAGTTCAGTCATATTTTGTTTGAATGGAAACTGAGAAGGGTGAGTGGATATTTAGGCGGAGGGGGGGAGGGAGGGGCGAATGCAAAAATAACTCAACGTGTTTCTTGACCCTTTGATTGACCAGCATTCAATTTCTCCTCTCAGTGTCACCCGTGAATCACACAATAAGGTCAGGAGAATAAAGGAAATGATCACCAAGCAAAGACGCTCTTGATTGTTAAACAAATTCTCCTTGTTAGCACCTCGGGAAATTTATAGAGAATAGTAGGAGTAAAACTGTAGAATACAGGGCCACTTATTTACATCTCACGGAATCAAAATACGTCCTTTTGTGTTCTGCGTCGTTCTTCAAATCGTGCCTATAAGGTGGACCCCAGTGCCCTGTAGTTACTCCCGGTATGAAGAATACGGATATTGATGTTAGCGTGTAAAGGGTTAAGAATTGTGTTTCTTTCTACTCCAACTGAGAAAAATGTCGAAGCAGCGTGTTCCTCAAGCACTTGTCAGTTAGTGTGTTATTGCCTTAAATTACTTTTGATTAACCCCTAATTATTTTTCCCATCCGTGTTTTCAACAAGGTTGTGGAACGGGTGAATACGGTTAATCTGAATGATATTCTTGACCGGGGGTTTTAAAGTATTCCTTATTTGCTCTCTAGGTATTTCTTCATATCTTGTTGGCTCGTAATGGGATCAGTGAGTGTGAGTTATTGAAGATTGTACCAATAAAATGGTCCGAGTGGTTACTACTGTCTCAAACCCTACATCTTAGCTGTATTGTCGTAACAAGAATGGGCCTTCTGACCTTTGCAAACAAACAGGCAAGTAATGGATTAAAAAAAAGGCTTTGATAGGCTTGCGACAAGTGTGGCAAATTCCGCGCATTTCGAGCCGACCAGCAATCTGACCGCGCAGGAGGTCTGGGAGGGTCATGGCGCGAACAATTGTGCAGGATCCTTCGCAGACCTCTCGCATGCTCGCGGCTCAGACCACGTGATCATCGCCGCCGCTCTACTTAGAACCTTGTTACTGGATATCAACAAAAGAAATTAGTCGTTTCCTTTTGTTGAGGTACGCTCAGCATTAATGTCTTTACTTGTGGTAATGATAATCAATATCTGTATAATTTTCAGGTAATAAGAGCTGTCAATGAAACGTTCTTATTTGAAGAAAACTCGCAAGAGATCGAGGAAACGCAGGAATCTTTCATGAAATTATTCGAGGAAAAGCTAAGGTATGCTACTCAGTCATTCACGGTTTTCAGGGGAGAAATTTTCAAATGAATGTCGAAAATAAATCCGGAATTTCATTAGTTTTGCTTTTCTTCCCTCTTTAGTCAAAAATCGGACACTCGTGTCTGAAGTCGGACAAAGGCATCTAAAATGGACATTAGTGTCCAAAATCGGACACTGTCGTACAAAATCGGACACTGTCGTACAAAATCGGACACTATTGTCCAAAGTCGGACACTGTCCTACAAAATCGGTCACTATTGTCCAAAATCGTACACTCTCGTACAAAATCGGACACTATTGTCCAAAATCGGACACCGTCGTACCAAATCGGACACTATTGTACAAAATCGGACACCAGTGTCGAATTTCAGTTTCCAATTTTTAGTGTCCAGTTTCAGACACTTAATAAGAGTATATCTTAATAGATTCTCTAGAGAAATTTAGTGTTGACTGTTTATTTGGTAACATGTGTTCCTATTCAGTGTTAACCATATATGTTGGAGGTTGACTGACGAATTACTTTGGAGTTTGAAAAAATCTTGCAAGAAAGAAAAGCTGACAGAATGTCTTCTGAATCCAACTGTCTTCAAAGTGTTTTTTGAAAGGTATGTCTTTTGAGGTTTCATGTTGTTCTTGAGAGAATTATCATCTCTTCTGACTCCGAGACAGGTTTTCACCAGCCTGTTTTTTCACTGGTAGAATGTTAGTGGGTGAGGAAAAAAAAAGGTCTAAGCGAAGTCCTCTTGGAGAGGGGAGGGAGGGAATAAGTTGTTAGGACGTTGCCTGTTTTCTTAGAAGTAGAACTAAAAATGTGGATGGTAGGAGAGGAAAGGTGTACAAGGATACAGAGAATATGATTTTCTAGAATCCCCTGATGAGTGAGCAATTACGAAACAGGCTACTTTTAGGTATCGAGCACTGTTATTTGGAAAAATCGAAACGCAGACTTCATTTATATATATATATATATAATTATAATATATATATGTATANACTTCGAGAGTCTGTGTATGATTTATGGAGGGCGAGGAAAACAACCATGGGTTTCGGTAACACTACAGACAGTGCTTTTGCAGAAATGTTATTGCATTGTTCCTACGATGGAACTAGAGACTCCGGGGAGATTTTTTCGAGGTGAGAATAATTATTTGACTGATTTTTACTTGAGATCCTGAGATATGTATGTAAGCGATCTCATTTGTGCAAGTCATTATTCTATAATTGAAATGCGTAAAGTAAATCAGTTTTGGCCAATATTGGTTATTTGTAATTATTTTATTTAGTGTTGAAGCCGAACAATTTCCTTCAACATCAGGTAAGCTTTGTACAAGTTTTATGCACAGACTCGATTTATGAATTTTCAGTCTCAAATATTTAGCTGCAAATTCGTTCACTGTGTTATTCACCAAATCTTTGTTTTCCTTTTTAATAGTGTTTGTGTGACTATCAGAGTACGCCATTTAACAATCGCGCGATTCCAAAACAAAAACAAACGAGTGCTCTTTAAGTACTTCAAAAAGAGAGACCTTGAACAAGATTATTTAGCCTTGTCAGTTGAAGTTCGCGTCAGTCAGCCCTCCTAATTATAATAGCTACTGTGATGAGATGAGCGCGACCACACAACTTTAAGAACATGAAAAGAACATTTAGCCTCAGCACCAAAATAAGTAGTTCCTATAAAAAGGGAACAGTATATGCTAAAACAATTATTCGCCTCAGGCTCGTTAATTTTGTTTTTTTCGCATTTAAATTGTCTGTTTGCATTTATATATATATAAATATATATATATATATATAACAAGTTAAAAGGCCTCGAGCCAACAGTAACGCCGCGCCAGAAGGATCCAAAAGGATTCACAGTCCAAACCTCGATAAATAATAGGAAAAATATTGTGGTACACGAGGACGGACAACTTCGAGCTAAGAAAGACATATACTCAAATAAAAAGTCTAAGAAAGTTTAATAAATATGTTAAAGTTTAATATATATGTAATTACATGAGTTCATAGACAGGTTGAAAGATGTGTTTCGATCTATTTAGGAAGAGTTTCCAAGAAAGTAGGCGACTTTCCTTTTAAAACTTGAAATATTGGTTATGTTCCGAATGTTTTCTGGGGGAAGATTGTATTCTTTTGCCCCGCGAAATGCGAAAGAGCGTTGACCAGTTGATAATCTGCATTTCGGTAGATTTACCTATGGCATATTTCTAGTGTTGCGTCCCGATGCACCAAATCTTTCATGAAATAAATCGCAAAGATAAGGTGGTACCTGCTTTGTTCTACACTTATAGACAATCTAGACGTTCTTAAATGGGTGATACTTTCCTTTATTATCCAACTGTGCTTCGCAGAGTACAAGTAACGCGCGAAACGAGTACAAATATGACGCGATATTTGTACTCCAGAAATATCCGCGAAATTCACCCCTACTGAAATAACAATTTGGCGTGTTGGATAATAAATCTCTTATTAGACGTTTTGTTGTGTAATATCGCTGAGTATTCTTACTCTTGTTTGTATTTTGACACGCCCGACAGGCTTCGTCAAAAGACGGCACAACTCGTAAAAATACTCGGCGATACTACACAACAAAACGCCTTAGAAGATATATTATTATACTCGTGACCATAGCATTTGATTCAAGAATAACACTGTAAGAAGAAACTAGATGCCAGTCACTCTTAGACGGTAAAGGTTTAATGCAGATAACTAACATCACAAGTACCGCCTAAATAGTTGTTTATTGAGTGGGAAGGGGAGGGGGGATTGTTTGCAACTTAACGCTCAAGGTGGGAGAGGGGCTGCTTCCTCGAGAGGTGATCATTAAACAGAGCAGGCCTCATAGAGCGTTCAAGGTATTCTGGGAATTTCCTGCAAATGTGTCATAATTTTTGTACTGTTTTTCATCTCCAGGGGCCGCATATCTGAGCTGATAAGTTATTGGGAATACTTGGGAGTAGATCAGACCTCGGTGGGGAAGAATTACGTTGATGTGATAAAACAGGTAGAAACTGGTGAGTAAAAGACATGTCGACTGTTGTTGAGAGAGAATTAGTTAAATTTTGTCCTTTATTTGAGTTATTTTCACATTTGTTGGACTCCATAGAGAACGAAATGACGGAGGAAACTGCTGAGATATTTGAGGTTGTTGGTCTGTTTCTGAAATGTTTGGGGCTTCTCAGTCAGGTTGGTTTATGATTACGAGTGACATTTTTAAAATATAATAACGTGAGATATTAATATTAAAGCGATCTTAAATTGAGTGTCTGGAGTAATTCGGAAATGCATCAGTTTTGCTTCAAAACACTCTGTGACTGGCCCAAGGAATTCACGCCACTCTTTTAACAAATCAGATATAAAACAAAAACCAATCGTCTCACGGTCACTCCCGTTTTCCCGCGCTTTTCTTTCCTGTTTTTACTTTGTTATATGATTGGTTCCTTAAGATTAAGGTGAAAGGGAGTGAGAATGGTAAAGTATAGAGTAGATAAACACCGATTCCAAATTATGAAATTGAAAAGTCAAAGCTGAATTTTTAAGATGCGCAAACTGTGACATAATCTCCTGCGCAGAGTGGTACTTGGTCATGGGATCGTGGCGCGACATCCGAGGGATTCGTGTTAAAGGGGGAAAATTCTATCTTTTTTAATGTGTAATTGAATTATTTCCAGGCTGCTCCACTGCTGCAACGAGCCTTGGAAATCCGAGAAACAGTGCTCGACCCAGACCACCCGCTTGTGGCGCAGTCTTTGCACCATCTGGCTGGTTTGAATGCCCAGTGGGGAAAGTTTAGGTAGCAAAAACTTGTTGACTTAATGATTGTGATTTTAGGCAAGATTCTTTAATTGCTTTATACCAGAAGTTCTGATCGTGTGGTCTGATCGTCAAGGGAAGACTATCTTTGAAAAGAACTGTTGTCGGTGGTAGCGACTGACGTTTCTACAACCTGAGCGGAAGTCATATCAGAGTCTCGTGATAACTTGTTTTCGGTCGTGTGTTAGAAGTCTGCTTCGTGAAACCTGATTGGTCAGTTTAGTTATGATGTTGTTGAATGTGAGACTCAGGAAGCATAAGTCTGCCGTGATTGGTCAGTTTTCATCCTTCGGTGAAATGAATTTGTTTCGTGCTGTTCGTTGGTTATATTTGTTTTGTGCTGTTCGTTGGTTATATTTGTTTTGTGCTGTTCGTTGGTTATATTTGTTTTGTGCTGTTCGTTGGTTATATTTGTTTTGTGCTGTTCGTTGGTTATATTTGTTTTGTGCTGTTCGTTGGTTATATTTGTTTTGTGCTGTTCGTTGGTTATATTTGTTTTGTGCTGTTCGTTGGTTATATTTGTTTTGTGCTGTTCGTTGGTTATATTTGTTTCGTGCTGTTCGTTGGTTATATTTGTTT